ATTTTCAAATGCACGCTTTCATATACTACTGCCGAGTGGTTCATGGTATTCCTTCCCATCAATTTGGTCACACCCTGAAATTTGACTGGATTAACGTCAAAGCCACAATTTTGCATAATATAACTGAAGATCAAATTGTGGAGATTTCTGTATATTTGATGGCTTTTTAACTGTTTTGTTGCTGGTATTAAAATGGCTTCCTGTGAGGTTTCAGGCAAATGAGTAGCTCTGGGGGAGAACGATTCAAGCGACATGTAGTGGCAGAGGACGCTTCGAGTTCCCGTTTTCTTTGTGTTCTTTTTAAAATGGCGCGTGTCTCCTTCTCCCGCGGAGCTACTCAAATATCCTTCACAGTTTTAAAATGCCTCGTAGAAATGCAAGCAGATAGTGCACGCCACACTCATTTTGAGAGAATTTTGCTGACTCTCCATTAATTTCAAGTAGCTGTATCTGAAAAACCGTAAAAGGTTTGAAAGTGAATTTTCGGATCTCCTTTGACACCAATAAACAAATTTAAAAAAAACTGACATAGTGGTTACATATCCTATTCTTGCTGAATATGATATTGAATGACCCACAGGAATCATAGATTTTAAAATGAAAATCTGTCCTTGCTAGCTCCCAAAAGACTATCCTGGATGCTGGAATGGTTGCCACGCTGTCGAGAGCCTAAATGGCTGAGAGGTTGTCACATTTACCACAGAGATTAAACTAGAATGACATGTTTAATCATCCCAAGGGCACTGTGTTGCTCTCTGATTTAATAAAAGTATCCTGGTGTACTTAGAAGATTAAGTGTTTATATTATCATTGTGATAGCACTGAAGCTGTCAACTACCTTAACCTGCATGCCCCCCAATCACCTGCTCGACGTTGTTGTTGCGGGGCTTAGGATGAAAGGCTGGCTTTGTGACAGTCTTAAACAGCCTTCATACTCCGTTTGCTTTTTTTTCTCTATCATTTTCACTACCTACAGCACTCAACAACTTTTGACATAGCTATAATTTGAATACGCCGCTAATGACCTTAGATGATGACATGGCAGAAAATTTTCTGCAGTGTTTCAACACGCTCCTTTGGGAAGTTCAGTTCACTGAGAGCTAGTTTCACCCAGGCCTTGCATATAGAGGTGAAGCTATAACAGTAGGTAACACCTTAGATCCATGCAGGATGTCCATCCTGGGCAGTCCAACCATACTGTTGTAGTAACAGTTAAGGGTGAAGACTACAAAAGCATTTACTAATTTGCGTGTTCTTTCTCACTTCTCTTGGGATGCAGACCACATAATGCTTTTGTGACTATACTGAGCGCTTATTCATAGCGAACATGAGGTTTAGTTCCTAATGCTCGCAGAATCTGTACAGGGGTTTTCAGGTCTTCACCTGAAGAGTCCCAACATGCCGAGTGTAGAAACACCTCTTTTATTGCACCAGGACTACATGAACATTTACTGCATGAGACTACAAAGAATGCCGGGCTCTCCTGCATCCCGATTGGATTTCAACCCCTTTGATGACAGCTGATCCTATGGTAGGAGAATGAGGAATCTTGTGGAAGATCTCAATTTGAATTTCTCCATGGTTTTAGCTGTTGGAACTACCCAGTTCCTTCCTGGGACCAATGTTATCAGGCTGGATTTCGGCGGAATAGGGAAGGGGAAGAGATTCGAAGCGGAAATCAGGGGGGGGGGGGTTCAGCATACTTCTAAGTATCAAGGATTAAATGCAACATATAAATGGTTCGAAGAATGGTGTGGGCTTTGCAGCAGTGAACAGGAAGAATACCGCAGTTGGCAGTCTTCTTCAGCAGCCTCGATCTTCACTGCAGAGTTATATGCCACCCTCGATGCAGTTAAAATGACAGAGATATTAGGAGCCTCGATCTTCACTGCAGAGTTATATGCCTTTCTGATGTAATTTATTGTGACTCTCGTAGTGCTGTGTACTCAATTACGAGCTTAAAATCATCTCATCCAGTGAAAAGGGAGGTTTAAGACTGGCTAACACTGATGACAGGGCCTAAGATAGCTGTGTTGGATGCCAGCGCATATTGGTTGAAACAATATGAAAAACAGAGGCAGCAATAAAAAGAAAAGAGAGGCCTATATATTTTTTGATAACCAGGAATCTTCCAGTCATCTATAATCCAATGGAATCATGTTGAGATTTTTAAGTACCATTATAAGACTGTACGAGAAAATGAAAAGGATCTAAAAAGTTATAGAATCCCGAAGAACATTACCAATTGGCAGAACAGAGTGATGAGGTCTCAAAGAAACCTGGAAAGTAGCCTGTGAGGTGAAGGGGAAATCCCTTCCAATCGAAGTATGACAATGCTTTTATTCAACTCCAGGAACGAAAAATATGGTAACTCATTCCTAGACTCTGGAGTACTCAGATTCGCTAGGTCTATTTTAACATGATATAATAAAGATATGTAAAACTTAAAGATACATTATGTATATGCAAATAATAATATTAGTTGACACCTAATTAGAATATAAAAAAACAAGCGTATCAACGTACCCTACATTCCTGTACAAGTTGTCATATTTTACTTCCCTGAGAACACGAACTGGAAACATTGTTTGTGGCGAGGATATGAAAAAATTAGCCCAAAAATTAAGTGTTCAGTTCCTTTGATGTTTCTAGAAAGCCCCTGGGCAATGAAACGAAACCCAAAGTACAAGGCAAGAGATAACTAAATAAATCAAATTAACCATTATAGAAACGTCCAAATCGGGGGTTCAGATGAGAGTTGTGAGTAAAACAGAATGAATCTGCCCCTGAAAGGTGGTAAACCATGTGGGCGACAAAGAAAAAATTGAAATTGCAAATAATTCTGACACGCTTCCCTTGGATAAAGAAATGCTTTGGATGAAGGAAGGGGAGAGGGAGTGCCAAAAAAGTGAGACCGACACAATTAAATTATTATTGGAAAATTTGAACGAATAAAAAATAAAACTAACTAGTCATATGCTTTGTAATATTAGTATAGTATGTGGCTATAAATATATATATCTTATATAATTATATATATAAATATATAATACTTATATATATTATATATATATATAATATAATGTGTGTATATATATGTATATATATATATATATATATATATATATATATATATATATATATATATATATATATATATATATATATATATATATTATATATATGTATATATATTTATATATATCTTATACTATATATTTATGCATATATGTATATATATTATATATGCACACTATATCTATCTATATATATATATATATATATATGTATATATATATATATATATGTATATGTACATACATGAACACATACAGACACAGAAACACAAACAACACACACACACACACACACACACACACACACACACACACACACACACACACACACACATATATATATATATATATATATATATATATATATATATATATATATATATATATATATATATATATATATATATACATATATATATATATATATATATATATATATATATATATATATATATATATATATATATATATATATATATATATATATATATATATATATATATATATATATATATATATATATATATATATATATATATATATATATATATATATATATATATATATATATATATATATATATATATATATATATATATATATATATATATATATATATATATATATATATATATATATATATAAGAGAGAATGTACGGTAATAGAGATGGAGGAGAGAGAAAAAAGAAAAAGAAAAATAGAAGAGAGAGAGAGAGAGAGAGAGAGAGAGAGAGAGAGAGAGAGAGAGAGAGAGAGAGAGAGAGAGAGAGAGAGAGAGAGAGAGAGAATGTATGAGTAATAGAGAGGGAGGAGGAGACAGAAAAAAAAAGAAAAAAAAGAAGAGACAGAGAGATTGGCAATATGAGGAAGGAAAATATCGTTAAAACCATTATTATTTCTTCTCTATATTATTTTCAGTTACCTTTTATCTTTTTTTTATATAATTATTATCATCATTGTAATATTTTCATTTTCAGATTTATTTTATCATTATTTTTATTATCATAATTGTCATTAACATTATAATCAATTTTTTACAAGCATTTTTCCTATTTTTATACCATTTTTTTAGGTGTTTGTTTTAACGTCATCACAAATATTATCATAGTTATAATAAGTATTCTTGTTATTACTATTATTCTCATGGATATGATTATGCAATTTATATCCTTGTTGTTATTATCAATATCGTTCTTATGATTATCTTTATAGTAAGATTAAGAATTATAATTTTTATCACTATTATTATCAATATTATTGTTGATTTTATTAATATAATTATTTTTACAATTATTACTATTACCATTGATACTATAAGTTAATTTCATCTTTATTATCATTGATATTAACAGTAACACTAATGGTAATAATATCAATAACAATAATAAAAATAGTAATGATCATGATGATAATCATGATGCTCATAATAATAATGATTATAATAAAAATTACTATCATTCCTGACAGTTATCATTATTTTTTATTATTATTGTAATTATGATTATAACTATCAGGATCATTAATAATGATGATGATAATTATAAAATAAATTGTAATAACGATGATAACTATAACTATCATGATCATTCATAATATTGATAGTAATGGTAATGATAAGTATAATTTTTTCAATGTCATTAATTTCATCATTCCCATCATCTTTATTATTATTCTGGCTATCATATTGCAAAATTCTTTCTTATGATCAGTATTCATCATTATTATCTTCCGTATCATGAATACTATCATTTACAATTATCATTATCATCGTCATTATGTACCACTATGTGTATTGTTAGCACTATTACCATTATCATTATGCATCATTCTATTATGTATTATGTATGTTTCATGATCATTATTAGGCTTACAATTAGCTTTCCAGAGACTGAGTCTGGTGTGACGAATGAATGAAAAGAGAAAGTCTTTCTTATCATTTATTGGTCCAATATTCACACAAGAAACAATGGGAACAAGTTATCTAACTATGAAAGGAAAATTAATCCACATCAATATAAACCTGTTTCATCAGCCCAGAAATCTTTTATAGTACCAGGGGCCAAATTCCTGAATGGGGAATGGCTCCTGACATATATAAATGATCCATACTAAAGAGAAGCATGAAAGATACCAAATGCCACACTCAAAAGGTAATACTTCAAACTAAACACTAGAATATGTAACTAACAACTCTCTCTTAAATTAAGGAAAAAATCTTTCTCAAAATGTACATTTTTCTTTTGGATAATACCCTAAGAATATTCTAAAAATATGCCATTTAATACCTTGGTAAAATAATATTGTAAAAATATATTTCAATCACTAGACAGTAAATAAACCTTTATATTAACTGTATGAAGTATGTGTAACTACACATTATATATACAAACTAAGAAAATATCTCAACATGGTGCTACGACCAAATCAGAGGTGAAGGTCTCCCACATGATGAGGTTTAGCACTGGTCGCCTCCCTTCATCTGCATCTGGCATCACAGTCTTTACTAATATCTGAAAGCAAAAGTGAAGTGCTTAGTCTGGAACATGGTATAAATAATACTGAATGTATTAAATATCTGCAGATCTTTTGAAAACATCTAGAGGTAATGATTGTAAGATTATAAATATATGTTAATCACATTTCTGTATATTTAGTATTGAAGAAAACCATTGGCTGATACTATGATAATACAATATCATAGATACTGTTTGCAAAATGTATGCTCTATTGTAAGTTGGCAAACAGTGCATTTCTGATTATGTAGATTTCTTTCATTGAACTTAGTCATGTGATTGATAAATGCAAAAAACTGCCTACCCTTTGCACCATTTCATACTAGTTTATTAATTAAAGGGTCTTCATGGAAAGTAGTTATGACAGGTTAGCAAGCTGATGATCTGAGCTGCTGAAATACATATCAGTATACATGGGTACGTATTCATATACCGAATACCTGAATACATATTTGTATGCATAAATACGTATCCATATACATGAATATTTGTCCGTATGCATGAATATGTATCCGTATACCTGAATACGTGTCCGTATGCATGAATATGTATCTGTATACCTGAATACGTGTCCGTATGCATGAATACGTATCCATATGCATGAATATGTATTCGTATAACTGAATACGTGTCCATATGCATGAATACGTATCCGTATACCTGAATACCGTATATACGTATATACCTGAATACGTATCCGTATGCATGAATATGTATTCATATACCTGAATACATATCCGTATACATGAATACGCATCCGTATACATAAATACATATCCATACGCATGAATACGTATCCGTACACATGAATATGTATCCGTATACATGAATACATATTCATATACACGAATACATAAACATTTGAAAAGGAAGTGCACAAAAAAGTGTTCAGAGAAGAGATAATACAAATGAGATCTTATTGCAATTGGAAAATAAGGTAGCTGATAATACAACAGGAAGCACACGCGAACACACTCACCTTTACGCTAATTTAGTTTAACAATATTGGGATACAATTTAGGTAATATAAAGGCACCTTTTAGTTCAATTCCAAGGTAATTTAGTATTTGGTTATATGGATATTTAGGGAAATGAGAAAAAATCAAAGTGATATTTCATTTCATTTTTTCATAACCATTGTCACCCTCGTTCCAGTTTCCATGCGAAGATTACACAATGGAAAAAGGAAGTGAAATTAGAAATTTGAGCCCTGATGATTTGAGAATATGATGGTATCAAGGTGGGCGCAAGTTGGAGAAAGGGCTAAGATCGGTCACACTATGTATACCCTAAAGCACATGAATGTATGCATTTTCTTCCCTAATTTATTAATATCACATGGGAACAGTATTTATCTGTAAACAAGATTATCAGACTAGAATGTAGTCATTTTGCCAATAACAAAAATTGTGATATGAACATGGTAGAATGTGGTTGCACACAAGAGGATTCGTTACCCTTTTCCTTGGATCGAGTGTCTGTTACGCTTCGTGTTATTTTCACCTAACAGAACAAACGTTAATGGCTGAAACCAATAAATGTGCTAAACATCAAAGGTCAGAAATCAATATGGTAAAGTATTGTGGCAAAAATGGTAAAAAAAAAATAATAATGATAAATGATAAAAAAAATAACGATAAGAATAAAATGTGTTTAATGTCAGATTTTATAATATTTACCAGTTGGGAGAGGTAGGGATAATGGGGAACAAGGAGGGAATAATGCAGATAGAGGAGAGGATGGGGTGTGTAGGGAAAGAGTGGGAGGAAGAAAGGTTGGGGAAATTTGACGGGGAGAAGGATGGATATCGGCAAGTACTTTGAAGAGGGTCTAGAAATAGGGGGATTGGAGGGTGGATGAGGAAGCGGAACATTGTTTTCGGTCATGTCTAGGAACTTTTGGATGTCTTCGAAAGTTTTTGGAGAGGAAGTTGGGTGGGGAGGTTTGGGGAACAAAGGTTCTCTTGTGAGGAGGAAAAGAGGCGATAGATGTTCGAGGAGTGGAGGAAAGGAGGGTGTAGGGGGATGTAGAATGCAAAGATGGGGTGGAATGTTTAGGTTGTCTGGTGTGACAGGTAAAGTGAGGAGAAGTGGTAGGCATCGGAGAAGTGGTAGATATTAGAGTATCTGGATTTAGACTGGAAAAGGAATTTGGGGGAGAGAGGAAGTAAAGGTAGGATGGTTCAGGGTAGAGGGAAGATATACTGGTACTGTTTTGGAAGAGACAGAGAGAGAAAAACCTCGTTGCTGTACATACTGTCTAGCCCCATGGAGAGTGAGGCCTAGTTGAATCTGCTATCTAAGCTTATAGCCAGGGCAGCTCTTATTAAATGAATTATGAAAGCAACCACAACTGGCATACATACATGACTGAGCAGGGCAATTTAAATGGTTAAGACCAGGAGCAACAGTGTTTGGCTGGGTGGCCAAAATGACAACACTTCTGACATTGGTGAAGAAGGGGTCCATATAGTCGGACAGGCCAAAATGAACTAAATGGGGGAGGACTTGTGTATGTATGCTTATTTTCGCAATATTGGTGTATAACTTATGCTGTCCTGTGTGAGGAATAGCATAGCAATGTACTGCCACTGTATCATAGTCAACAAGGCAGGCAAGTAAGTCATTGTCATAGAAAGGACAATCAGTCTCGGAGATTGAGGAATAGTGAGCTAAGCCAGGGTAGACAGTGCACGAGCTTGGGACTCAGATGTAACTGTGACAAGGCATTTATGATAGAAATGACTGGGAAAGGAAACTTTGCCAACTTGCTTTTAGAGACATTGCTGAAAGAGAAGGGTACTGTCAGAGTAAGAGGCTATGGAAGGAACCACAAAGAATCGATCCCACTTGGCTGGGCCATGGACAGTATTCAAAAGGTTTCAGAGGTGGAAACATTAAGAGGAGGAAGATAGGATGGTGTGGAGTGAAGTAGTACTGTGGGGGGGGGGCAATAAGGATGAAATAGTAATTAGGTGGAAGGGGGTAGACAATGAAGAAGACTGTGCAGTTGATGGAGTGGAGAATGTTGGGAGAGACAATGTCAGCAGACAATGAGGAAACCTCACAGTATCAGTGGCCAGAGCCATGGTCAAAGGAGAGGTGGGGGTCAAGAAAACCATTGAAATAAAAGTTAATAGGGTAGTTGATACAGGGGTAAGGGGCAAGGCTCAATACCCCATATTAGGGTAAATATCTTCATTAGTGGCCATGGTGGGCCTGATATAAGAGGGAAAAAGAAATGGTCTTCCCCTCTGGGTCCCCATAAGGGGTAAGGGCATGCCGTGCCCTTGGCTCCTGGAGGCCATTCATGAATGACACAAAGCCTGCTTTTCATCATTTCAACAAGGCTCTCACACCTTAGGAAGTGGACAAAGGAAGGGAGAAAAGAAAAGGAAAAGGAAAGGGGGAGACGAAAAAGCCATGCAGAGTTGGCTGAGTCGAGGGCTGGGGCCCAAGGTAGAGGCAATCCCCACCCTGGGCCCCAGTCTGTCTCCTAAGCCCCCATAACAGCAACGACCAATGGATTAGGGGGCTAAAAATATATAAAGAGGTATAAGAAAGAATTAATGCATTAATCTTATATATCTTATACTTTAAATAGGCCTACATTTGATAAACTAATAGTCATTAGTTTAATTAGTTTATAATTGTACTTACAACACTCTTTTTCTTATAAATGAACGTAATTCTTATAATGTAAACCTTCACCGAGAGAACTGAAACCCCCTCTCCCCCCATCTGAAGTAAAAAAAAAAAAAAAAAAAAAAAAAAAAGCTATGCAATTCCATTCACAATCTCTCCTGAAATGAAGTGATATTTCCATTCATGTTCTTTGCGGAAGGGAATAGATGTGCCGGTATGTCTGCATGCAGCCACACCCGAAGCTTCAGACTCACTTCACACTGCTTGCATGTGAACAGCAAAAAGAAACTAACCTCCAGATGATTCCTTCATTTAACCTGTTGAGGAAAAGAAATAAAAATGAAGTTAGCATTACCAACTTTCACCTTGACATATCACAGGAAAGCAAAATGTCAGTGAAAAATGAGTGACAAATACTGAAATTGTGGAAAGCAAACCAAATAATAATATTACACAAAATCATTAACTAATTTAGATATCTGTAACTTCATTTGTCTGCAAAACTTTACTTTCCAATAAATATCACTTAAAAAGAAGTCTTGGTAGCTAAAGTATTTCTTTTGATTTTCTATATTATTCTACATATCTATATATATTTTTTCTCTTGCTCTAAAACATGTTTTCTCTTTTTTTTACTTGTGTCTCAAACAATACAAGAAGCACAATCAAGAAAGTCATTCCTTTTAATTTTTAACTACTTTAAATATCTGTCGCTAGACTTGGCAGCAAAAAATTACATTTCAACTGAATCGTTTCAAAATGTATCTTTTTCTTTGCTCATATTGCTGTATTGATTCTTTCTTTACATTCTTCTCCATTGACACCTCTTATCTTTTTCTGTCCTTCTTTCCTTCTTTTCCTTCCTACTCTCTATCTCTTCGTCTCCTTATCCCTCACCTCTTCTCTTTCTCCCTCCCACATGCTACCAGATTTTTCAAGCACACATTTCCAATCCCTAAATGTTATGAATGCCTAATGCATATAGATGGGATTATTCCATAAAAAAACTTGGATGCAGTGATTGTAATCAACAGGGACATAAATACAAAGATTGTCCAAATACATCTCACATTATTTTGGACAGGAACCACCCATCATAAAACAGAACATGTCAGACCCATTCAAAAGCCCAATAAACAAAAACAATATAACACCAAATAACTTTAAAAGAAATATAAGCCGATGTCAAAATACACCTCGAAGTTAAGCAAAAGCTAAGTCACAAACCCAAAATATTACACCAGGACAGAAAACACCCCAGAGACAGAGAACCCAAAACGCAGAAAGGTACAGTGTAAAAGCTACACCAGAGGCAAATAACAAACGAAAAATAAAACCACAATATAACACAAATTCAGAACAATCACCGATGGACCTTACCCACACCTATTACCCACTATTACTATTACTATTACCCACATCCATTCCCACCACCCACACCTGTAATATTACTACCATCGCCCATATCCATCACCTGCAACTATTGCCCAAAAAGATTTAAACTAGGTGATTATCACAAAAACATAATAAAACAGTAAGAAACAATACAAACTCAGAAAAATCTATTTCAAAAATAATTATAGGAACAATCAAAGATTTCACTCTAATTCTAAAACAAATAAGAAATTTGATAATAGTATAGAATTCCCACTTAATCCAAAAACAAAATCACAGACTTAAACCAACCAATTTCTAAAGAATAGCCTGTATTAATTACTTTAATTGAAACCTGGTTATTTTTCAACCATAGAATTAAGAAAAAAGAAAGGCAGTGAAAATCAAATTGATGGTGGACATGACAGGCATATAGAATGATACACAATTTAGAAGCTTGAATGATAGATATGAAATAGGATTGAGGTCCTGGGAGTAGCAATACAATGCAAAGAAAAAACACTAAATTCATGTAATAACATATCTAAAGAAAAAAATAATATTATATGTGTAATTATGTATAACCTTTCATATTGTATGCATATATATATAAAATATATGTAAAAGTAAATATTATATGACAATATAAAATAAACATTCCAGTGTTTCTTTCATCATCATCATTGCGGAGCTAACGCCGACGGGGGCGCATAGCCGCGTCCACCCTTGCTTGTACCTGCGAGGATCCCTCAAGGCAAGTCGCCAGGCAGGGACTCGGCCCATCTCAAGCTCCTCACGACAGGTTTGATCGATCTGCCCAAGCCACGACTTCCTAGGTCGACCCACAGGCCTCCTCCACCCAGGGCTAGCTCGAACAGAGACAACCTGGTGGGCGGGATCATCCTGAGGGAATCGGCCAGGTGGCCGTAAAGCCTGAGTTGGCGATCACGGATTGTGCAGGTAATAGGTCCTGCGCCAGTCTCACGGTGCAGCCGTTGGTTGGACACATGTTCCCGCCAACAGTACCCCATGATCCGGCGCAAGGACCTATTACAAAAGGCATCAAGTCGAGACTCCAAGGCGCAGGATAGTGTCCAGGTTTCACCACCGTATAGCAAAACTGGCACTATCAGGGCTTTGAAGACATGAAGCTTGGTCCTTCTGCACAGGTACCGACGTCTCCAAATACTCTTGTCGAGAGAGTTCAAGACCCCTGCTGCCAGGCCAATCCATCTACTGACTTCATGGTCTGACAGCCCAGAGTTATGAACTACACTCCCAAGGTATGTAAAGCTCTCTGTGACTTCAATGTCCTTGCCACTAGCACGTACCGACTGAACAGGTTCTGCTAATATGTCCCCAAAGTCTTGGATCTTGGTCTTGGTCCAGGAGAACTCTAGACTAAATGCATTGAGAGCCACCACTAAGGATTCCAAAGATAGAATGGCAACATCATCAGCAAAGTCAAGGTCTGTAACCTTGATATTGCCCAGTGTTGCTTCACAATGACTTTGAACAGTAGCTCTGCCCATTATCCAGTCCATGCAAGTGTTGAAAAGCGTTGGTGCAAGGACACAGCCTTGCCTCACTCCTGAACTAACAGGAAAAAATCTTGGCAGGCCCCATCCATCACACTTAACAGCAGTTAGGGAGCGATCTCCAAGCTGAAGAGAGGTAAAGCAGCTGGTATATGCGGCATCCCAGCTGAACTGTTAAAGGCTGGTGGTGAACCTATGGCGGGGGTTGCATGTCGTCCTGGCTGCCATCTGGCGGTCTGGTACCGTCTGTATACTGGTGTGTCTTTGAACCAAGAAATTTTACGAAAACTAAAGTGATAGCAAGTGATTTCAGGGCACATCATCCCAACTGGATCTGTATAACAAATTAATAAATCAATATAAAGTAATAATGATAATAATAATAAAAAAATCAAAATATTTCATCATTAACACCAAAGACCTAGTGACAAAAATAGACCCAAAAAACAGAGAAGCTAGTATAGAACCTGTCCTTGGTTTACCCTCAATAAGTCACTTGAGTATTGTAACAGGCGCACACCTAGTGATGTCACCACCTTCCAATAGTAATGGAGGAGGAAAACTACCAAAATCCTTCAAATGGTCTTAGAAAGAACACAGATTATTCAAAAGATTGCAGAGGTGGAAAAAGTAAGAAACGGAGGAGGAAGATGGGATGGTGTGGAGTGAAGTAGTACCTTGGGGGGTGGGGAGACAATGATGATGAAAAAAGTAATTAGAGGGAGGGGGCAAATAATGAAGGGGAGAGGTAGGGGTACTTTCTGTGGGTTAAGTAATGACTTGGGTTGGTGGTTCGGAATGAATAGAATTAGTAGACATTGAGGAAACCTCAACAGCATCAGTAGGCAGTTTCTCTGGGTCCCCATAAGGGGTAAGGGCATGCCGTGCCCTTGGCTCCTGGAGGCCATTCATGAATGACACAAAGCCTGCTTTTCATCATTTCAACAAGGCTCTCACACCTTAGGAAGTGGACAAAGGAAGGGAGAAAAGAAAAGGAAAAGGAAAGGGGGAGACGAAAAGGCCATGCAGAGTTGGCTGAGTCGAGGGCTGGGGCCCAAGGTAGAGGCAATCCCCACCCTGGGCCCCAGTCTGTCTCCTAAGCCCCCATAACAGCAACGACCAATGGATTAGGGGGCTAAAAATATATAAAGAGGTATAAGAAAGAATTAATGCATTAATCTTATATATCTTATACTTTAAATAGGCCTACATTTGATAAACTAATAGTCATTAGTTTCATTAGTTTATAATTGTACTTACAACACTCTTTTTCTTATAAATGAACGTAATTCTTATAATGTAAACCTTCACCGAGAGAACTAAAAAAAAACCCTCCCCCCCATCTGAAGTAAAAAAAAAAAAAAAAAAAAAAAAAAGCTATGCAATTCCATTCACAATCTCTCCTGAAATGAAGTGATATTTCCATTCATGTTCTTTGCGGAAGGGAATAGATGTGCTGGTATGTCTGCATGCAGCCACACCCGAAGCTTCAGTCTCACTTTGCATTGATTTCATGTGAACAGCAAAGAAACTAACCTCCAGATGTCTTCTTCAGCTTCCCTGTTGAGGAAAAGGAATAATTTAGAAGTTAGCATTACCCGCTTTCACCTTGACATATCACACTGAAAAACAAAATGTCAGTGAACAATTTGAAACAAATATGGAAATTGTGGAAAGCAAACCAAACAATAATAATGCACTTAAAATCATTAACTAATTTAGATACCTGCAATTCTAAATATCTGCAAAACTTTACTTTCAACTAAATATTGAGATACAAGAGAAAAAAAGAGAAAGAGAGAGAAAAGAGAAAGAGAGAGAGAAAAATCAAAGAGAAAGAGAGACAGAGGGGGAAAATGCAAAGAGAAAGAGAGAGAGAAAGAGATGCAAAGAGAAGAGAGAGAAGAGAGAGAGAGAAGACGCAAAGAGAAAGAGAGAAAAAGAGATGCAAAGAGGAGAGAAAAAACAATCCAGCCCCCCCCCCCATACACACACACAGAAATAGATAGATACTCCAGCTGAGACGTGGGATTGGAGAAATTCTTGGTATGCTCTATTTGAGTGAACATTTGAATAAAAATTGACTAGTTTGTGCCAATCTTAGAAAAGTGAAAGCTTCATGAACTCGACTCTTGAACTAGATTCAGGTGATATGCTTAGTATAAGCAATGTAATGCATTACAAATAACAAAACAAAAACACAGCATATGAGGATATTGACAGGAAAGACTGCCCATACGCCAAACATACATGAGAGGAAGAAACTGGCAGACAGATCACAGAACCCTAAACCTACACATCAGAAACCACAAGAATTGTACTTTATTTATCAAACAAATCACACACTTCAAATTTCAACAATAAAACTAACCGAAGCTTTAAATAAATCATTTTCCAAAAAATCATTAAGAATCTTAGATGGGAAAGCTTTGAAGTGATATCTATCTATCTATCTATCTATCTATCTATCTATATATATATATATATATATATATATATATATATATATATATATATATATATATATATACATGTCCTTTGAAATCAATAAAAAGTCTAGGAAACTGGTTAGCCCAGTCAAAACAACACGCTTGTTACCAAGTTTTCTAGTAAACATTTTCCATCCCCAAAGGCTGTAAATACATTATGTATAGAGATGGGCTCTTTCTTGCAAAAACAAACTTATGTGCAGTAATTCCAAGGATATATATTAAAGGATCAGCCAAATCCTTCACACGGATTATTCAGCAATAGAAAATCAAAATATAAAAATATACAAGCAAAAACAAAACAAAAACACCCAAACACAACACAAAAGACAAGAAAATTCACCAATAACTAAAAACAAACATGAAAAAGATCTTGGATAGATATTGCAAACAGTATACTTGAACTAATATGAAATATAACGATACACTTAAAATAAATAAAAATGAAATTGAAATAAGTGCCCAGATACTAACAAAAGCATCGGATTCTTGGATTCTTAGAAGGAATATCAAAATACATAAATGAATAAAGTAATTCTTTGGAATGTTGGATCCATACTGAAAAAGATGAATATTTGATAGATAAAGGAAATCCCGAGGGTTTTACAGTTTGCAAAATTTGATTAAGGAAAAGGACAAATTTAGAATACTATATAAAAAACTAATACAAAAAGAAGGAACAGAACAAAAGGGAGAGCGTTTAACAATTTATATACAAAATAGTATGCAATATGTAATAGTCACCCTCAGAGAGAGAAAAATAGCAAAGCTATAAAGATTAGCTTTAAGAAAAAATGGTTAAGTTTACTATTAAATTACAACCCTTGTAATGACATAGCAAGAACAGAACCCCAGATCTAAGTCATCTAGAAATTTAAGTAAAGAGGGATCGAATTTAGCAAATAATAAAGACCCAAATAGTGCATTCCATTTTCTTATTTACTATTACTGGTGAAAAGGAGAATAGCCCAAAGCATTTCAAAAATAAGTAAATCCAATAATAAAGCAAGACAAAGACGACCTAACAGATTCATGAACACAAAACTGCAGAAGGAAAGATAGCAAGGGAACTACCTCAGGTTTCACCTACGTCACCTACGACAAAATCTAAAAATAACCTAGAAGTAGGCTAGCAAACAGAAACTAACAATAAACATAAAAAAAACAGGACAACACAAATACCTTTAATACAAATGGATAACGAAAAACTCGAATTCACAGCCAACCACACAATTCTAGGTATAGATTTTGATGCACCAAAATAAACCAAGGAAAACCTTAGCAATCAGCTAAAAATAAAATGATCAAATAGAGTAAATATAAAAACATATATACAACATGGGGAAGAAATAGAGAAACATTAATAAAATTCTACATAAAACCTGACACAGAATATGGTATCTCAATTTTCAGTAGAGTGAAAAACACAGATATTAAAGATTAGAAATCCTAAAAAGTAATGATGAAGAACAGCAATGGACTGCCTAAACCCCCCACCAGTAGTAGCTTTATACACTCTTACAAATAAGATGCCATCAGGAATAAAATAAAATGCAGGCACACCAAAAATGAATATATTACATAATAAGAAAATTACGAAATAAAAAGATTAGGAGAAAAAATGAATAAGAAAAAAGATGTCTAGTTCACAAAAAGATGAAAGAAGCTTGTTCGTAGTTCTAGAAACGTAGTTACACGAAAAACAAATATATTTCCAAACAGGAGCCCTATTCCACAAATAGTTTGACATTTTTAAAAAAATATAGAAACTAATTTCTTATATTAGCTAAAATATATGTACATATATATCCCTAAACAACTAATAAAGTCAAAATTCATGATGATTGAAAACACGAGATATCTGAATTGTCCAAAAATATTTACAGATAGGTAAAGATTAAACCTCAAATTCTACTTCTGCAACCATATACATTCAAGACAAAAATATAACAATAAAGACATTAATTACCAGACAATAGAAACAGTGTAAATAAAAAAAAATAATAAATAAATAAAAAATACGAAAATGCTGACATTAAGAAAACATGACCTGGCAAAAATGTTAAAAATTTGGGTAATGGGAAATAAATGGAAAGCAACCAGCATCTAGTGTAAACAGATTGTACCCACGGAACCACATACCCAGTCGAAACAGATCCGGATATAAGGACAACCAGAAAAGAAAATAGAACATTTGGTCATGTTTATCACACTCAAGAAATATCAAGAACAATAGAAATCAAGAAAACCAAAACAGAGAAATGGATTCCAACAAGGTCCCAATGAACTACATTTACAGGACCACTGCCACAAAGGGCAGCAATTGGCCACATCTTGTACCAAGTCAAACAGTAGACCTTCCCAATACCCAAAAGCTATAATTGCCATGGATATGGTCATGGGATTCTAACTTCCAAAAAACAAAGATGCAGTAATTTCAATCATACTGTCAAAGAACGTAATAATCATCCAAATTGCTTCCTTTGTGAAGGTGATCATGTACCATACAGTAACTCATGTAGCATACACAATAAAGCATAATTAATGAATAAATGCAACTTCACACCTAAAAATTCAGATATCAAAAAACAACAGAAACCTTTAAGAGAACAAGTTGGAAATAACACTAATAAAATTACAAGCACAAAACCAAAAGAAAAAAGTAAAATAACTAGAGACACACACTCCACAGGTTAACATAAGCCCTAGACATGTAAGCCAATGCCAAAATACACCTCAAAGTTGTGCTTCCATAAATTTTAGAACTCCTTCCAAAATCCTTTCATGAAAAGAGACCGGTAAAACAACAAGTAATTACCCTCTAATAGAAAAACATCCCAGTGTTTCAGATATCACAAAATCTAG